CACGTTGTCTCCTTCCAATCAGGTATTACCTGATCCGTTTCAGTACTTTCCCTGTTATTCGTTCATGCTCCTGTAGCTTTTCACCAGTCTTTTGTGTGGTTCTGTGTCGAAAGCCTTCTTACAGTCCAAGAAGATGCACTGTACCATTCCCTCTCTCTCCTGTCTTACTTCTGTTAACCTGTCGTAGAACTCCAGTAGGTTTGTGACGCAAGTTTTATCTTCCCTAAAGCCATGTTGGTTGCCATGTATGAGCCTGTTCCTTTCTAGGTGCTCCATGACTTTACATATTATACATATCAGGGATACTGGTCTGTAGTTTAATGCTGCCTGTCTGTCTCCTTTCTTAATAATTGGGACTACGTTTGCCGTCTTCCACACCTCAGACATTTGCTATGTTTCAAAAAATTGTCGAAGACTGTTGCTAGAGGCGCACACAGTGCATCTGCTCCCTCTCTCAGGACCCAAGGAGAGATGTTATCTGGGTCCACTGCCTTCGAGGTATCTAGTCTACCTAGCAGTTTCTTCGCCTCCTTCTCGGTTGTATGCAGTGTATCCAGCACTTGCTGGTGTACCCTACTGGTTCAGTTTAATGGAAACCTCTCTGTTCCCATTGTGAATACCTTCCTAAATCTTGTGATGAGTTCTTCACATTCTTCTTGGTTGCTCTCTGTGATCTCCCCTCCTTCCATCCTCAGCCTGATTACCTGGTCATTGATTGTTGTTTTCCTCCTGATGTGTTTAACAACTTTGCGTTAGATTTGGCTTGTCATTCTCGTATTGCCGCTGATTCTCTCCTGATGTGTATATGTGTGTGTACTCACCTAACTGTACTCACCTAATTGTGGTTGCAGGGGTCGAGACTCAGCTCCTGGCCCTGCCCCTTCACCGAGTGCTACTAGGTCCTCTCTCTCCCTGCTCCATGAGCTTTATCATACCTCATCTTAAAGCTATGTATGGTTTCTGCCTCCACTACCTCACTTGCTAGGCTATTCCACTTCCTGTCTACTCTATGACTGAAGAAATACTTCCTAATATCCCTTTCACTCATCTGGGTCTTCAGCTTCCAATTGTGACCCCTTGTTTCTGTGTCCCCTCTTTGGAACAGCCTGTCTCTGTCCACCTTGTCTATTCCACGCAGTATTTTGTATGTCGTTATCATGTCTCCCCCTAACCCTCCTGTCCTCCAGTGTCGTCAGTCCGATTTCCCTTAACCTTCCTTCGTAGGACATTCCCCTTAGCTTTGGAACTAACCTCGTCGCAAACCTTTGTACTTTCTCTAATTTCTTGACGTGATTGATCAAGTGTGGGTTCCAAACAGGTGCTGCATACTCCAGTATGGGCCTGACGTATACGGTATACAGTGTCTTGAACGATTCCTTACTAAGGTATCGGAATGCTGTTCTCAGTTTGACAGGCGCCCATATGCTGCAGCAGTTATCTGGTTGATGTGTGCTTCCGGAGACGTGCTCGGTGTTATACTCACCCCAAGATCTTTCTCCTTGAGCGAGGTTTGCAGTCTTTGGCCACCTAGCCTATATTCCGTCTGCGGTCTTCTGTGCCCTTCTCCGATCTTCATGACTTTACATTTGGCAGGGTTAAATTCGAGAAGCCAGTTGCTGGACCAGGTGTCCAGTCTGTCCAGGTCTCTTTGAAGTCCTACCTGATCATCATCTGATTTAATTCTCTTCATTAACTTCACATCATCTGCGAACAGGGACACTTTTGAGTCTAACCCTTCCATCATGTGTGTATGTGTGTGTGTGTGTGTGTGTGTATGTGTGTGTGTATGTGTGTGTGTGTACTCACCTATTTGTACTCACCTATTTGTGGTTGCAGGGGTCGAGTCCTAGCTCGACCCCTGCAACCACAAATAGGTGAGTACAAATAGGTGAGTACACACACACACATGTGTGTGTGTGTGTGTGTGTGTGTGTGTGTGTGTGTGTGTGTGTGTGTGTGTGTGTGTGTGTGTGTGTACTCACCTATTTATGGTAGCTGCAATCAGCTCCTGGCCCCGCCTTCCCGCTGATCGCGAAGTGTGTGTATGTATGTGTGGTGCAGACATAATATCTGGTTTTATAGTAAATACAAATGGCACGGTATCCACTTCTGGTGCAAATTGTGGGACCCATAACCTCGGATAAATGGATAAAAAAGCTTCGAGGAAGAATATTTGGATTTCTTCCTGAAGTCATTTGAATGTTCCACTTCCCCTACCACCCCATCTTGTCATTCTTTTTCTACCAATAGGTATATTTTATTAAATAATATAGTATAAAAAAGATTAAAGAGATACACTGCTGGTATAAAGATGGAATATATAGTACATGAGGCTTGGCAATGGTTTTACAAAATAATTTTTTTTTTTTTTGAGAAATGACAATTTTTGTGAAATGACCATTTTTTTCGAAATTATTATTTTTTGAGCAATGGCAAAATTATTATAAATGGGATGATTTGGTTTTATAAATTAATTAATGTGCTTGTTCATTATAGTTTGAAAGAGAGATGTTGGGTTAATGTATTTGTACATTCATGAGAGAATGTAGATGTAATGGGTGAATAATTATGTGTTGAGATATGTCAGGTCAGAACCGAGATCTGTTTGGGAGAATAATTATTTGTATATGTTTGAGTGAGAATGTGACGGGTGAATGTGTTCAAACATTTAGGTCAGAATGAATATACAATAAGTGAATGTATTTATCTGTTCAGATTCCGAATTAATGATGTCTTTAGTGTCCTTTGATCATCACTGATGTCTGTAGCGTTATTAGATCCTTAAAATTAAGAACGTCTTGTATTGTGGGATCTGTTATTAAAATTTAACACTCGGAAGCTACCATTTTATATCTAATGGAGGGCATGTTCCAAGTCAAATGAATTTTATCTTTGGAAGATGAAGTTATGGGAAAAAAAAAGGAGTCTTTTGAATATCCCCAGAAGAGATGGAGGTCCCTTATTTAATGGAAGATGTCTTAGTGTGATGGGGGTCAGACATCTTAGTGTGATGGGGGTCAGACATCTTAGTGTGATGGGGGTCAGACATCTTAGTGTGATGGGGGTCAGACATCTTAGTGTGATGGGGGTCAGACATCTCTTTTCGTAGGCTTGGAGATGACCTCATGAATTCAATTTCCTGAGAAGCAATGAGTGAAAAAGAAAAAGCGCGAGAGAGAGAGAAAGAGAGAGCGTGAAAGAGTAAGAGAGAGCAGGAGTGAGAAAGAGAGAGGGATCCGGAAACAGGTGAAGGGAGAGCCCATTTACGAGACTTGACTGTTGAATTTATGATCTTAAAACAGTGAATCTTAACAGATATGTTTGTTTGAGAAAACTCTGAGGTTATCTACTTAAATAACTTATCTCTATTCAGTAGTAGAAATAACATTAATTATTTTGTTGGGATAACTATTTAAAGAATTTAAATCATTTAACCTCTGAGTTCTTCGCGACTTTTCTCTGTTCATGGAAAACAGTATTAATGCATAACCCAGCAGTCAGACTTTGTATTACATTCCTTTGTATACTTTTTAATGAAATAAAATTTGGAAACGATATGTCGTACTGACTTTTTTTTCTACCATGTATTTTCTTTTACCAGTGAAATAATTTTAAAGACATGAAATAAGACTACTTTTTTTACTCTGAAAATATCTCTGAATCTTTCTTATCTCTGAGATTAAGTCTTTCTCATCTCTGAGATTAAGTCTTTCTTATCTCTGAGATTAAGTATTTCTTACCTCTGAGATTAAGTCTTTCTTATCTCTGAGATTAAGTATTTCTTACCTCTGAGATTAAGCCTTTTCATAAACTAAGTTTACATTGTTGGAGACAGTATAAATCTTAAGAGTTACATATTTTTCCTTACTTTTCTCAGAATTAACTCACATATTATAAAAGGGAATTTTGGAAATGGAGAGAATACAGCCTCTTATAAAAATTTCCCAGTATGACATGTCGGATAAACCCACGAGGCACATAGGTAATGGTACATTCTAGCCAACCTTTGATATGGGCAGGATGGGTGATTGTAGGTGGAGAGGGTAAGTGTAGTTGGTGAGTAGTGTTGGTTGAGGGGTGAGGCTGGGTGGGTGATGGGTGGAAGGCAAAAATGGTGGTTAAACTTGATACGAGGAATTTAAGCAATGAGTCTGACAGGTAATCTTTGTCCAAGGAGATGGAGCAGGAGAGGTGAAGGGTGAAGGTAGGCGGGAGGATGGGTGTGAGGTTGGTGGGTAGGTGGTAGGGTGAGGCAAGAGGTGGAGCAGAGAGGTGAGGGAGGGCGGGATCTTGGAGCAGGGATCGTGAGTGGACTTGATCCATGGAAATGGATAGGGCGAGGCTGCAGGGTGGGTAGACAGAGATGGGGGTTTGTCTTGCCCGGTAAAGGGTATAATTATTAAATTTAATCCGAAGAAATGGAGTCGGGGTGGTGGGCAGGTAGCGCGGGTCATGCACAGAAACACTGAAGGAGAGATCATGTCAGCTACAGGGAACCAGAATAAAGGCGGTACCGTTAAGTCTTGTTGTGTTATTGCCACCTCCATCAATTACAACATTATCACTACCTTTGCTCATATAATCTTACTACATGCTTACCACAGACTCTCATATAATAGAGCCATAAGATAAACTCGTCTCCACTTCCGGTGTACTGCACATAACTCTAATAAAAGTCTCTCAGTCCCCTAAATATAGCTTGTTTTCTCATATTCATTCTAATCGAGGGCCAGAGGACTGAAACATCTTCAATAAAAAATTTCTAAGGGTTCGCAACTGTGTTCTTTTATCTTCTAATTTGTCGCCATTTACTGCCTTCTTACTATCGCAAGTCGTGTTGGTAGTGTTCCCAAATGCAACTTATTTTTCTCTGAGGTGCGTTTTCTGATTATTGCCACTAATTCAATGAGTAAGCAATTGCCAGGAAAGCAGTACATGTAACATGTTGTGACTTAAAAACTATTATCATTTGACAGACTGCAAGAAAAGTGGTCACTCACCCTTCACTATCAGCAGTGGCAAGCATGAGAGACCTTGACAACATGATAGCGAAGACTATGGCGTAGGCTAGACTGGTAGCGAAGGGACGGAGGCTGCAGGTCAGTGTGCTCGCCTCGAAGCTGTAAGGCAAGATGGCCGCGTACAAGAATACGCAAGACATCAGAAGCAGCAAAGAAAATCCTTGGGAACCCTCCTGTGCGCTTCCACGACACGAACGAACCTGCGGTTAACAAAATACTAAGTTAATTTATACATTGTTTACAGCCAGGAAAAGAAGAAAAAAAATTATTAGTAATTTTTTCTACGTACCAAAACATTATAAATATTTTAAATTATTTAGCGCCTTTTATTAGGTTTAAAGCCTATCAACTGCACGAGTATCAAAGTGCTGCCTGTCACTTGTGCAACAACAGTCAAAGATTCTGCAAACCCTAAAGTAAGGATTAAAGTAAACTCTAAGTGTGTATACATACTGAGAAATATATATATATGTTTGAACACTGTTGATCTCAGTGCATACACATCAAGAGAAATATACTTCTCAGAAAAAATACAGCATTTTTGTACACTATTTTACACTAGAGAAAATGGCATGGAATATAAACACGCTTAGTGTACAGTATTTATAGTACAAAAACAAATTTTAAAAATGCCGTTAATAAAACAAGAATAAAAGTAAAAAAAAAGTCCTTAAGTGGTGAGTCTTTCAGGCGAGAAACACTTCAAGTGGGAGACTTTTATTCCTGGGTAGGAAATCTAGATACGTGGAAATGAATCGCGTCTAGCTAGGCAATTCTTAATTTAATATCATTCCTATGATTGTTATCAGCTATCATTCGCTAATATCATTATTACTGTGGAAAATTAAATTTACCAGGATGTAATTCATAAGAAACATACCAATAAATGGTAACAAAGATAATTATTCTTTATCAAGGTTACAGAGACAAGTAGGAATTTTAGGACACCTAGGTCGCAAAAAAATGTCCTCCTTCGATATCTACGATAATCTATCTCTCCACAAGTCACTCTGGACCTATATTAATTTCAAATGAAATATACATCACCAGGAATTCTGGTAAAAACATTAATA